GAGAGAGAGAGAGAGTCCTTGGTCGTTTTTTTATTATATATTTTTAGCTTATTTTTATTAAATTATAAACGCAATGGAATTACAACGGTAGAAGGAACCATTGACATAAATGAGGGCGGAGGTCATAGATACATTCGTAAGATTAAGATATCGAATTTGAAAGAAGGTTTGAAGAGGATGAAAATAGGAAATGGTTTAAGACAATATGGTATTTCAATAGAGGTTTGGCAGTGCATGGGGGAGATCGGTATTAATTGGTTGACCAAGCTAACCAACAAGGTGTTGAGAACAAAGAAAATGCTAGATGAATTGGAGGAAAAGTACTATAATACCTATTTATAAGAACAAAGGAGACATGCAGAATTGTACGAACTATTGAAGGATCAAACTTATGAGCCACATTATGAAGTTGTGGGAGAGAGTGATTGAGCAACGACTAAGGCATGAAATTAGTGTATCAGAAAATCAATTCGGTTTTATGCCAGGGAGGTCAACAATTGAGGCTATTTTCCTACTTAGGCAATTGATCGAGAAGTTTAAGATGAAGGGAAAAGACCTTGACATGGTCTTTATTGATTTGGAGAAAGCTTATGATAGAGTACCTCGAGATCCCTCTACACAAGGCTATTTTTCTCTAAATCCCTCTCCCGCCTTTACCAGTCTGGTCTCCTCTCAGGCTTCTTTACCACTCCACAGGGCCCCATGGTATCACACCTGCAATACGCATATGATACCCTTGTCTTCCTCGATGCCTCCCAAGAAGAATTCGACACACGCAAACTCTTCTTCCTGTGCTTTCAGAAAGCTACAGGGTTCAAGGTTAACATGCTGAAATCTAAAATGATGGGAGTAGCCATGCCAAAGGCAGAAGTTGCTACGCTCATCTCCGACTAGGAATGTTCAGTGGAAGACCTTCCTTCCACTTTACCTTGGCCTCCCTTTGGGATTGGGGAAACCCAAGAAGAGAATCTGGTCTCAAGTCTTAGATAAGGTAGAGAGATGCCTGGCAACTTGGAACGGTCGATACCTCTCTCCTGCAGGAAGAGTTACACTCATCAAAGCGACTATGGCAAACATCCTAGTCTACTTCATGTCCCCGTTTCAGATGCCTGTACACGTGTCTAACTTCATAGAACTACTTATGCGTAATTTTCTCTGGTCGGGACAGGTAGAGAAGATCAAGTTTCACCTAGTTGCCTGGGACATTGTTTGCCTCCTAGAAAGAAAGGGAGCCTTGGCATTCGGACCCTCAGAAATCAAAACATTGCCCTCTTAGGCAAATGGTGGTGGCGGCTAGCCACTCAACCAGATTCCCTTTGGGCCCAGGTGCTACGCAGCAAATACCGAATTCAACATGGTACGTGGGTGCCAGATAGAATACAGAGACACAGGGCTTCAGGGGTGTGGCTGGTCTTTAGCCTCTTCTCTGCCTCAGTTCAGAAGGCACCTTAGATTGCATGCTCGAGAAGGCCGCAGGGTCAAGTTTTGGACTGATCTCTGACTTGGTAGCTCCCCTCTGTGCAAGGCCTTCCCCACCCTTTTCTCTCTCTTCCATAACTAACTCTTCAGGCACTGACGAATTGCCTCTCTCAGGGGAACGGAGAACCTGGACTCCTTCCTTCTGTAGAAACCTCTCGGAAGAAGAAAGCTCACAGTTTCAACAACTTCTGGGTGTCCTTTCTTCCCACTTCCTCCTGCTTTCTGGGAGTGATAGTCTTGTCTGGTGCCTTTCCCCCTCTTGTCTTTTTACCGTCACCTCATTCTATAAGAATCTTACCCAATCCCCAACTTTTACCCTTAACCCCACTTCTACCTTGTCAAGAGTATGGTCCACCATTGCTCCACCTAAAATTCAGTTTTTCAACTGGATCGCATGCTCTCAGAGAGCCCTCCCAATCGTCTAACTACAAAAACGTGGTCTCTCTACACCCAATAGATGCGTCCTTTGTCTTTGTGAGGAGGAATCCAACCCTCACATTTTCATTCAATGTGATTTCTCCCATAATCTCTGGTCACTCTTGCTTCTATTATTTGGTATCCAATGGGTCTCGCCACCCACGGTCCGAGCCTTAATCTCCTTTAACTTCGAAGCTCAGTGGCCTCTGGCTGGAAAACCCTCTGGAAGGCCGTGGTGGCCACTACCATTTGGACCTTATGGCTTGAAAGGAACAACCGTATTTTCAACGGTGCCCACCTTACTGTACAAGCTCTATTCCACAAGGTGGTCTTGCTGACGACCTTTTCGGCTTCCAATCACAAGACCTTCTCTGGCTTTTCTAGGAACACCCTTCTTTGCCACCGGAAAAATGCCCTCATCCACAAGCCCCCAAAACCCTCAAGAGCAAGCAACTGGAAGACTCCACCTGAAGGCAGCATCAAGTTAAACTTTGATGGCTGCTCTTTAGGTAACCCAGGCGCTTCAGGCGTTGGGGGGGCATTCAGAGACTGCCAGCGAAATGTCCTCCTCACCTTCTCTCTGCACCTTGAGACCTTTGACTCCCAATATGCTGAAGCTTTGGCCCTTCTTCTGGGGTTGAGATTTGTGACCCGTCCTGGGGCAATCGTCTGATTGTGGAAGGAGACTCGCTGAACACCATCTCTTGGGCCAGCGGTTTATCCCCCCCACCTTGGTATTTGTCTTCCATTTTTGATGAAATTACCCACCTTTGTAGGGATACGAGCGTCTCATGGCAGCATATTTGGAGGACTTTCGGATCTTTTGGCGAAGGAGGGAGCTAGCCTACACACGGACATCCAGGCCACGTCCGACTCCTTTTTGTTATGGACCACAGCCTCTCAAGATAACCCACCTTCTATTGCGCCAACCACTGTTTTGGCCTCTCTTTCTTTTTTTCTCTTAATTTGTTTCTTTCTTCTCTTTGTAAATCTTGACTGTAGGGCGAATCTTATAAGCCCATGTGCATATAATTGATTGATGTATTTTTTGCCTTTGAGGGTGCTTTCAGTCCTACACTTTTTGTAATCTCGGACTCTCTTTAGTAATACAATGTTAACATTTATCAAAAAAAAAAGAGATAAGAGTACCTCGAGATTTAATTTGGCAGGTGTTGGAAAAAAAAGGAGTTCCCATATACTACATTGACTTGGTGAGAGATATGTACGAGGAAGTGCTAACTAGTGTGCGATAACTAGTGGAGAGACGATTGAGTTTCCAGTGACAATAGGTCTACATCAAGGGTCAGCAATAAACTTATACCTTTGTCTCAGTTATGAACAATTTAACTAGGTACCAATAAGATGGGGTACCGTGGTGTATGTTGTTTGCAGATGACATAGTTTTGATCAATGTGACCTGAAGCAACGTCAACATAAAGTTAGAACTTTGGAGGGATGCTTTAGAATTTAAAGGTTTTAAAATTAGCCAGACTAAGATATAGTATATGGAATGCAAATTTAGTAATAATAAGAGTAGAAACAAGGAAGTAGTTAAGATTGATGGCCAAGAAATTCCAAAAAGAGCGCACTTTTGGTATCTTTGGTCGATAATCCATGAAAGTGGATAGATTGAGAAAGATGTCGTACATAGAATTAGCGCTGGGTGGGTGAAGTGGAGATGTGCAACGAGAGTTTTATGTGATCATTGTAAACCAATGAAGTTGAAGAGCAAGTCCTATACAATAGCTGTGAGACCAGCTTTGCTTTGTGGGGCGGAATGTTGGGCGGAATGTTGGGCGGTCAAAAAACAACATACCCATGGGATGAGTGTAGCTAAGATGAGGATGTTGAGATCGATCAGTGGCAAGACAAGAAAGGATAAATAGAATTCAAAATGGATACGTTCAAGAGAACTTAGGTGTAGCTCCAGTAGGCAATAAGATGAGAGAAAATAGATTTAGGTAGATAGGCCATATGCAGTGCAGACCCAGTATAGCACCTATTGAGATGTGTGAGTTAGTTCAAGTTGAGGGCCCGAAAAGGGCTAGGAGTAGCCTCAAAAGGGCATAGTTGGAAGTAGTGAGAAAAGATATGGGGACTTTTGGACTTCACTAAGGGTATGACCCTTGATAGAGCAGAGTGGCAGACCAGGATTCGTATAGCTGATCCCATATAGTTGGTAAAAGGCTCTTATGATGATGAGGATTTAAAGGGAAGGGGTCTCTTTTGAACAAGGGGTTATTAGAGAATAAAGAAAGAGTTTGATCTTGTGAAAAGATATCGAGGTGGACTCGAGGGTATAATCTTTCAAGCCTCTTATTTTATTTTTTTTAATTTTATTTTTTCCCCCTGGCATCAGGCTATTTTGATTTTAAATGTCCATGTTCATGTTGGTCATGTCCGACACATTTTGCCATGTAGGAACATGTCGGCACTTGAAACGGCTGGTGGAAGAGGCATGTCTAGGTAATATAGTTGATAATGGTCTTCGCATTGCCTTTTTTTGTTAGTTTTACTCACATATATGGCTGACATCTCAATGTTACCTTCACCAATGGCATACATCTCACACAGAGGAGCTGGCATTCATACAAACAAGGCATGAAACCCTTTTTTGGACTGATTTAGTACTTGCGTGCTTCTCATTGCTTGTGTTCCATTTCACACGCTTATTCTAAGATGCTTCTTGTAAGTTTTTTTTGCTTAAAATCTAAAATTTTCATTTTGTGTTTTTGTAGGAATTACCAATGGTCACAAAGATCCTTGTATTGATACTTTCCAAACTACTACGTTTCATATTCTGAAGCATTTTGGAGTTCCTGCAGGACTGGAACTTAAAATCATAAGCCGTGGATCTCCTCCTGAGGGTGGTGGTGAAGTGTGCTTAAAGGTTCCAATAATCCAAAACAGTTTATCTGTAAGTCCGGCCCTTTTTTTGTTTTTGGGATAAGTCCTGCCTTTTTGCTATTATCAAGCAAGAACTGAGATGATGCTTTTGGATTTTCTTTTTCGGTTTTTCCTTAGAGTAGATTTGTTGCCTTTTTATTCTTGCATCCTGTCCATTGAAAAGATTTGTGCTTCCAGGCAGTTAACTTGGTTGATGAAGGAATGGTCAAACGCATTAGAGGAATAGCCTACACAACAAGGGTATCTCCTGAGATGGTGCACCGCATGCGATATGCAGCTCGTGGAATTTTAAATCGGCTATTGCCTGATGTCAATATTCGTGATGGTCATCTTTCAGCTCCACTTTCAGGAAGGTGTGTTGTTTTTTTCATCTTTCATAGTTAATTGTCAGTCTTATTTTACTTGTCAAAAAAGGTGTAATCGCTATTCTTAAGTGCAAGTGCATGGGGAATGATCAACATCAATTTGCTAAAAGTCATCCTGCCTGTAACTGCATAAAGGTGTAGTATGCTCGAGGTGAATTTTTCACTGTGGTTAAATAGTAATTGGTATTTGGTTATCTTAGTTGTTGATGCCTATTGTTGTGTTATCAGATTTATTACCGCTTAATCATGATTGAGGGAAACTGGAAAATTGTTGCTCATGATAATAGTTAAAGGCAATGTTACCAAGATCAGACTAGCTGCCGAACTGTTGAGCGGCTTGGTCTAACTAAAGGGCGGTCGAACCGGTTAGACCAGATTTTTATAAAATAAAGAACAACTAAGAATAATAGTTTAAAAACATACAAATATATTACAATTTTGTTTAACCAATCTGACTGGTCAAAATTGGCCGGTCTGATTTGTCAAAACCTGTTAAAACATTGATTTTATTGGTTACCGCAATCCTAGCTTTTGCTTTAGACCGGACTAGCCAAAGCACTGGTTGGCAATCCAACTTGTTGGATTGCGTGGTCTAATTCGGCCTTGATAACTATGGATAAAGGTGTACCACGCTCGTAGTGAATGTTCCAATTTGGGTCAAACGTAGTAAGGGGTATTTTGTCTTGTAAATGTTTGTTGCTAATTGTTCTCCACATCAAATGAATTTCTACTTGATTTAGATTTGGGGAGACCAGGAAATTTCTTTTGTGGCGATAGGGCCAAGCATGAATTATTAAAAAAGTAATATAGCTAAGGGTATGGTTTTCATTGAATAACAACAATAAAAATTTCACCCGCATGGGGGCCTAGGCAGCCCGCTTAGGTAGGTGATGGCACTAGTTACAGCCAAAACCAAGTAAACTTATCTTGGTTTCTCAATTTGCAGATAAAGTTACAATTTTTCAATGTTAAAACAAATTTCTGTGCCAAAAGCAGGACTCAAACTTGAAATGAAATGTACTTCCTTTTTTTGGTTGGGATAAAGAGGAAAACACATACTGTGACAAAACTGAGGTCAAAATGCTTCCCCTACATTTAATTTATAAGAAAGTCAGCGAACCCCATCTTTTGATAATAAAACTTGGAGGCCTTGAGAGTTGAGTTGACTCAGTCGAGTTGGAAACAATGGAAGCAAGTTTTTGAACAATGCATGTGGTTTTCACTTTAGGACAATTTTTCAAGTTGAACATCTCTGGAGGTAAATGATGTTACTCCTATGGTGTGTTATTTCTCCATGTGTGTCTTGTGCATTGTAAATATAATAAATACTCTAGTTTTTCTTATAATTGCAGAACATTTTATCAAATGTGTTTTTCCATTTTTTTTGACAAGGTTACAAAGGAATGGAAGTTGATTTTTTTTTTTTTGTGGGGTCCGTGCGAACGCGTACCTTTTTGGTATTTTGGTATCTCTCTTTTACCATCTTTTCTCTTGTAAAGTATTAGAAGTCTTTTCTCTACATGCCGCTTCCTTTTTACAATATCTTCACAGAGAATCTGCATGAAAGATTCCTCGGTCTCCTTCATCATGAATCCTTTCTTTCCTCTTTGGAAACAGTAAGAAAATACCAGAACTCACAAACTTGCACTTCTGGCAACCTAGGGATTATATGGAGGGAAAGAACAATCAATGGGGTTATAAAGGTTTTTCCAATGGAGAGGGTTTTCCTGCCTACTCCGAGTTGGGGTGTCAACCTCGTTATTCACTCTTCTCTACACATGGAAATATAGAAGAAAATTATCCATCTTTGTTTATGAACTACCACTAATTCTGGATGGGTTGCAATATAACTTGTTAAATTCTTTTCGAATGTTTGGCTAAAATTTGTCAAATATTTGTTTGGTTTTTTAAGAGAGATTTTTTGGTTGCAGATCCCCTGGTTATGGTATCTCATTAGTTGCAGAGACCACATCTGGTTGTTTTATTTTTGCAGAAGCCTCAGCATGTTTCTCTAGAGATGGAGATGCTGAGGACATGGAAACATCTGATGAGAAACTTGCTCCAATGCTTCCTGAGGATATTGGCATCCAAGCCGCTTCTTTGCTTCTTGAAGAAATAAAGCAGGGTGGGGTTGTGGACTCCACACACCAGGTGAGCTTAGATTGTGCATTGAATTCTCTCTCTCAGAGACATACATGTACGCGAGATCGCACACACGCATGCACTGCTGTTTGAAGAAAGCTACAGAGGTGGGGAAGGGTTGGCGACTCA